CAAGAAGAAGGGAAGGAAAATTACCCAACATCGGATCATTTTGCCGACCTGATAACGTTAACGTTACACCCTTAGCTGTAAGTTTTAGGCTAAAGCCCTATGTACAGCTAAACAGGTGCTTGCCTACACGGTTATTTCCACCTAGGGCTAGCTGTACCCAGTGATTTAGGCTATTGATTCAATAATATCAATGATGGAATAAATTATTATATAATATATATAAGTTAATAATTATGTAATATAATACTTTAAACTCCTTTTCTTCAGGCCGATGACCCGGTATATAGTTGGGAAGGCCTGTATCAATAACTTTCCTAATTAGGACAAAATGATGTATCATGAGATAGCCATCAAAAGTACTGATGGCAATCAAAAATGGTTCCACAATAAAATCATTATCTAGATAGGTGCATTGCCACAGGTGCTAGGATACCAGATAAGGAATAATGATATTTTTTTTGAATAAGTGTCACACATGTCACACATGTTACAAAGCGTCACATTTGGCTCTAACAGAGGCCAGTAAAGGGCTGCCTAGGTAGGGCTAATCCTCTAGGCAAAGGGTTCCCTAGCCATACCTACTGGTTTTAGCCTAAATCTTACCACTATGGCTCAACGTTAAGGATATTTAATCGTGAGTCCGGGACCTCTCGATTTGCCCTCGACAGCACATTCCTTTGCGTTATCTTTAACTATATTTTCAGCTCCCGCTGCCTCAAGCGAAGCCGGGCAACCGTACGCGCACCATGCATAGGCTGCCTTGGGCATGGCGGCCGCGACCCAGACTCCAGTGCGGTTCGGTCAGCACAGCAAGTCACTGATCGATGTTGGCTCTCTTTGGGAATCGTACCAACGCCTGACCATGCGTGATGGTGTCCGCGCCTCCCAGCGGCAACGACCCCATATTTATATCCGGTGGCATGAGCTTGTGGCACCATCCTAGGTCACAAGATGGCCCTGTTGAAGTCCAAATCACCACTGATGATGTGTGTGATGGTGCATCAATAGCTCGGCCCAGCAGCAATGACACCGAGAGCTGTCTCCGACGGACTGCTCCATTAGCGGATGTGTATTGATCCTTAGGGATGCCATTCCAAGGTCAAGACCAGGTGGTGATGTGACTAGAAAGTCACATCAATTGCACTTGCCAAGGCACCGGGCCTGGCGGGGCTAAAGCCCAGAGCTTCCCCTTTGTGAAGCCCTAGCCCTGAGCCCTGTCTGGCCTGACGCAGGGCTCGGGCTGGGCTGGGCTTTGGAGGGCCGGGCTGGGCTGGGCCTCAGGGCTTAAGCCCGGCCCTGCAGAACACTAAGGTCCATTCATACCTATATCCACACTGAAAAGTGTCAACATGGTTGACTTGGGAAAAAAAGGTCTTGGAAGTTTTGAAAAGTTCAAATTATTCATTCCTGTTTTCAATAATTATTCAGTTATATGGAAACCCTAGATAGAGCCCTGGCTTGTCAGTATCGACCCAGCGGATCCCAGTTGATAACTGGCGGTTAACTGTGGGCTACACAGGTGGCTATGAGAGAATAAGATGCGGGACGCCATCAGGCCTGCAGCACAATTCTCAGAAACAGGCAGCATATCAGCTATTTGCCGTGTTTGTAGAGACGGCGAGGTTCGGTTTGGTTCAGGTTCGGGGTATTTTTTTATGAATGCTGAACCTGAGCTTCGGTTCAGATTCAGGCTTTTGCTGAACTCTGAACTGCACTTGGCGTTCAGGTTCAGGGAGGTTCGGTTTGGTTTGAGTTCAGAACATGTTCAAACTTGGGACCTATGGTACCACTTAAAAAATTGCATTTGGTTGACTTTTGTGCCTATTTTCACTCATCTTTGTGCTCAACCTTTTCAGAGTAGTCCCTCTTGAGTCCCTCTCCTCTGTCTCTCCACCATTGGCACTGACCAGTCAGGAAGACAAGGGCCGGGACGGCTATTTGTCAATCCGGGCCATCCGCTTATCATCACTCCAGTCCCACGTTGACACTACCCGATATTACCCGAGGCTGATTGACAGTTCGGCGGTTACTTCCGGCTTGCCAACTACATCCCCATTCGCCAAATTGGTGATTCATTGGCCTAGAGCCGGGCGTTCCGGCGCCTCCAGCGTTTGGCGTTCGAATGCGTTCGGACCAGGTTCAAGTAAAACAACCACCGGCCGAACACTGAACTGAACTTCACGTTCAGGTTCAGCATTGCGCTGAACTTTGAACCTGAACGCGCGTTCGGTTCGGTCCTGTTCAGGTTCGAACCGGAAGGCCGAACCGGACGCCGCCATCGCTACATGTTTGCCAAGCCAAACTGGCAGTCTTACTGTAATGCAGCCTCCATGCTGCGTGGCCATGCACGTGGCCCCAATGACCTGGGCTTGTTATGGGTCACCATAACAGCCCACCACTGTCCGTGATTATCCATCTCCTTTTCGTATATCGTTAAGTGTCAGCCTGTTCTGTTGACCAATGACCAAATGACCCGATAACAAATATTTTCCTTCATGACGACAAGTAGACAGCAAACGACTGGCCGCCAATGTACGCTCCGAGTCCACGTTACAGAGCTTGCAATACTTATATGCTTCGGGAATCGGCGTTCACTGTGTGGCGTGCTCCAAGCGCGCTCGCTATGCATGCATGGGAGCCATCGCGCCGCGCGTTCGAATACGACGGGAGGACAGATTAATTATGTGTGATCTTGCAATTGTGTGGTTCGTTGGCCAACGGTGCGCAATTTCTTTGATGCAATGGCATTTCTTTTCTTTTTTCCGGTTTGCCAGAAGACACTAAGTAATAATTTCGGGGAAGGACGACTCGGATGTCGTCATCAATCGATGGCGTGTCGACGAAATGATCCGACTTCGCTCCTTGCCAACGACCACGACGATGCCACGATGTGGGCCGGCAAGTGAAGCCTGCGATCGCGTGGTGCTGTTGCCTGGCCCGACACTGGCCGGCCCTAACGCAGCATGTCACTGTACCGCCGGCTGGCACAGAATTTCTTCCAATCGCCAAACACAGGAGTTTCTGGCGGTCGCCCTCGCTCTTCGGTGCCATTCGCTTCCAAGTTCCCCGCCCTCCGAATCGGCGCGTCTACCGGCGTGCCACGTGGCGGCACCAACTCAAGTGCCCTAGCTGCAGACGCACACTTGTTGCGCGTGACGAATCCCCGCTCCGAGCCGCCAGACACTCTCCACCTCTTCGCCTCGCTTGCTGCGCCACACCCACTCTCCTTCCTCCATCCCATCTGCCGGCACATACACCCGCACTCGCTTTTCCACACCACGTGGCAGAACCAGGGGAACGGTCGCATCAGCCGCATCACGACGCGCGATCAAGGCGTCGTGCAGCACAAAGGACGTCGTCGGCTGCGGCCGGTGTATGCCTTATTGGGCAGGTGGGTGGGTCGACGGGGGAGGGATTGGGGAGAGTATAAGGGGTGGGGTGTCCGGGGGCCTTGCCGCCCATCTACTCCAACTCCAACTAGCCTCTCCCAACGATGACCGTAACCCACCGTCAACGCAAGCAACCCGCAGCGGCCACCGGCGCCAAGGCCGCGACACTGCACTCAGCCCCCGCCCCTTCGCCGCGGGCGAGGTCCCACGGGAAGACGCACGGGCGGGGCCGGGGGTACCGGCCGCCGCCGCCGGACGCGCCGGACCGGCCGCACAAGTGCGACAACTGCGGGTTCGCGTTCAAGCGCTCGTCCGACCTCGCGCGGCACAGCAAAATTCACCTCGGGGAGGCGGATCGCTTGGCGCAGTGCGTGGTTCTTTTTTCTTGTTGAGGTGGAGGCTGATGGCGGAGTTGCAGGTCGTGGAAGTGCCCCGAGCCAGAATGCACGTTCTCGGCGCTGACAAAGACGGGGCGGGATAATCATATGAATGTGCAGTGCGTTTCGTCCGACTAATACCCCGTGCCACCCTGCTCACGCGTTACCAGCACCGACGAAAAGCCGCACAAGTGTCGCTACTGTGGCGAGGGCAAGCGGGACCCGGCGGGCGTCACGCGCCACGAGAAGAAACAGCACCCCGAGCTGTACGTCGCGCGGATGGCAGCGGCTAGGGCTAAGGGGAAGGGGAAGCGCCCGGCGCAGTTGGACCTTAGCGATGCAAATGCTGCCATGACGCCGACGGAAAAGACGCCGACGAATCAAATCCCGGAGGCGGGCACCTCGGGGCAGCTCTCCCCGTCTTACGCGCAGCTCGCGTTTAATTTTGCTGCTCCAAATGTGCCACTACTAATGCCCTTCCCGCCCCAGTCAAGCCTAGCTATGCCGCAGCTCTCAGTGTCACTGCAGGCGACGTTTAACTTCCCGGCTCCTCCTCCCCCCGCGCCATCTGCGATCATGCCACCATGGGCGGCTGTCTCCGGGCCGTCTCAGCCACAACCGGCCTATGGACCACCCGCTGTGCTCCCGCCTAGCCACTTCCAACCACACGCTTTCTTCACTCCCGTTCCCGGTCCGGCGCACCCATACCTTGCTCCGCCGCCTCCACCGCCGCAGCTCCTATTCCCCACCGCCTCGGCCTATCCATATCCGCAGCCCGCTTACGGCCCCGGGCCATCGCACTTCGCCGGACCGGCCTTCTCTCCCGCAGACCTCGCGGCGCTCGCCAACGCCCATGTCGCGCAGACTCAGGCTGCTGGGCAAGCTCACGTGCCGCCGGTGCTCGCGCCGGGGTACGCCCATAACGCGCACCGCAACGCCGGCCCGTCCGCCGACGACGTGGCGTGGGAAGGTATGGGAAGTGCGGTCGACTTTGACGCGATGTGGGAGGCGGAGCGGCGGTGCTGGAACGAGTAGGATTATTGTATTTTATTTTTGCATGTCCATGTCTGTGTCTGTAGCGTTAGTTCTTCCTGTATTGCATATACCCATCTGTTTCCCAATATGATATCATCTTGAAGGAAATGTTCGCTAACAATCGGATCAGCTCGATTACGCATGTTGATCCGAGGTCGTCGTCGCTTCTTTTCTTCCTTCCTTCCTGCCAACGACGACAATGACGCCCGTCAGCAGCCTGGGCTTGCCAGTGGGCTCCGCCGCCAAACCGTGGCCTAAGTGCGGCACGCTTCTCAATGTATACGCCCCCGGGCTCGCCAACAAACCACTTAAGTCCTTCTTGGGCCGGCCCCACAGCAGGAGGTCTTGGACGTCGCGGGGATTGTGGTTTACCAGCTCCACGAAGGTCGCCGAGACTATTGCCGAGCTGGTGTGTCGCAATCCAACCCCTCAACGCCTGCCTGACCGATACACAGGCACGAGTCGACTACGCCTCGCCCGCGGCTGCGATCGGCAAGAAGGAGGACGCCGGCCTTCCGTTGGCCTTACAGCTCAGCGATATTCTCGTCGACGAGTTCGCAAATGATCCTGACGATACACGCCGCGGCTACCATGGCCATCGGCAAGATAGAGGACGCCGGCCCTGCGTTGGCCTTGCAGCTCAGCGATATTCTCGTCGACGAATTCGCCACAGCGTGGGCCCGGTCGTCCCGGGCAGGCTGCCTACCCACGCTTCCCGGTGACAGGACGGAATCACCGCGTCCAAGCCACAAGAGAGAGCTACCGAGCGCGAGCCGGGCCGATCCTCGACGCGGCCGGCCGGTAGCATCGGCGCCGCCCGCCGTGGGTGTGCACCACCACCACCATCCAGGACAATTATGCCCGCCTGGCTCTCGGGCTGCATCCGTACCGGCGACTCGGAGTCGCAGCGGGCCCGGGCCGCCGCCGCCATCCCACCAGTGGGGGGGGCGGTCCCAGTCGCCGTCGACGAGCGCAGCGCTACCTCTGCCGCCGCCGCCGACGTGTGTCCAGGCCACGCCTAGCTGAGACCGCCCCGACTTCGACAATGCACCGTCTGGAGGTGTTTATATACGGCGAGCCGCCACTTGGTGTTCTTTCAACTTCTTTGAATGAAACAGAGTGATTGTGGCCGCCTTTGAATATTGAACGCGAAGGAACGGGATTCAGGTCTTTGGGAGGCGTGCAGCGGAAGGGACAAAGGAACGGAAGGGGTCACAAAGGCCGGACAGCACTTGCGGTCGACAGGAATGTTTGGAGTAGGCATTTTCCCTTTACGTGCCTTTCGAGGGAAGTTAACAAAGGCATCAAGGCAGATTCAGGTTACAACAAAGAAGGTCGATTCAAAGTAAGCAAATGGCGCCTTGACGCTCAGAGCGCCATCCCCTCATCAGGCACGTCCGACCAAGGGCCGACGTGACGGCGACGTCACGGTTGCTTGTCAAGCGCTCGCCCGTTCGACGATGACAAAAGAATTTGCCATCTTTTTTTCTGTTCGCCATTTTTACTACACCAACCTTCTCCCTGTATGTCGGGAGCGTGGCGTACTACCGGGCCGAGAGAGAAGAGAACATCAAGCGGCGCAGCCTGTGGTAGGCTCCGGCCGGATTCGATCTTCATGCCGATGCCGATGCCGATGCCGATGCCGATGCCGATGCCGATTGTTCGGTTGGAGAATGGAGAGTCACAAGCCAATTCAGTAAAAGAAGAATTGTATATTGAAGTCACGGTAAACACTATAAATGTTTTTCTCCTTTCAAAATTTTCTACTGGTGAAGATAACAAGCTCGTCGATGTTGGGGTGACCGATTCCAGCTGCACGGGCTTCCGCCACTGCCGACGCGTCTGGCTTGCTCCGCGTGAAAACATCAGCCGAGAAGTTGGTGCATCCCCAGATGTTTTTAACCTGCCGCGTAGTGCTGGCCAAATATGATTATATTATTTTATAGGCATAATATATTATAATCATATCATATTCAGAGCTCCAACCTAATAATATATTTGTAGTATAATATGATCATATTCAGCTGCAAAATATGAATACTGTACTATTTCATTCAATTCTGCGGGCCTGTGACCTGTGACACATATGGCAGAAATGTGCAATTCAGCCAAGGGGTGAATTTGGTGTGACCTCCTGCCTTATATGGAAGTTCTGCGCGCCGTAGGCGCGGAAATTTTTTAAAATTACCATTTTGGGACGGTTTAGGGCTAAAGAAACTCGCTGTGACCTGTGACAGGCAGAAAATTTTCGGCCAAAAAAGTCAATGTGACCGTGACAGGACTAATTGATTGAAATAGTACAGTATGTTATGAATATATTCAACTATAATCTAGTATAAATATCTCTTGCTATGTTTGACATATTTGCTGCTAAAAAAAAGAATCAAAAACAAAAAATACATGCTGGATTATCAGGGCAACTTCCTTTTGGGCCTCTCTAATTCCAGCCTGGGCTACATAGGACCCTCAAAATACAATCAGGGGCATTACCACTAGTATCAGGTTAGCCAGTAGACACTTGATCAGAGGTCCTACACTATGTTTAATAGGGTCAACCCAAAGTGATCACTCCTGACACTTGTTCCTACTAAGAGTAATGTATGACTCACCATATATAATAGATAATATGTGACATTTATCAGAAGTAGGGCTAACTCAGACTAAGATTAGTACTATGACTGAGTACATGGACTAAGAAAATAGCTGTAATCATCCACCTTACTATAGTTGAATATTCTGTGACTGTGACGGTTCGGGTCGGGCCATCGGGCCCTATACGGCCCGACGGGCCCTCACCACCCTTAGAGCCCTAGGGCTTGACAAGCCCTCATATATTCACAAGCTCAAAGCACTGAGCAACAACACTAATATCCCAGAGAAGGGACATAATCACAGATCGCGCTTTAGTCAGCCATCAAGCCATCATGACCCGCCATCAGGGATTATGATGCGCCGCCGGACGCCCTTGACAGCGGGCCCAATCGGCCCCAGACAACCACAGGGATCAGGAGGGAGCTCCTTACTGTTGCATTGCCAAACACTCCTTAGTGTCGACTTTGGCATGGCTCCTTTCCAGAGGAATGGTCCCTGGGCTCCTAGCGGAGCGACCAGGGACAACCAGAGACATCCCCTGCTTCCTTCTGATCGACCCTCAGCGGGCCCGATCGGCCCCTAGCGCCCACAGTATATAAAGACTAGAGTATTACTCCTGTACCTTAGGTTTAGCATTGAAGTCTCTTCCTTTGAACCCTACTCCGGCCTGGTCCCCTAGAGCGGGGTTGCTGCGACCATACCCCAGGAAAGGGGCGTCTAGACGACTTCCAACACTCCAGGCTAGCTTGGCTCATTGACCTGAGCCCTTGGTTGGGCTGGACAGCTCAGGCTCTTGTCTCTTATGTTCACCCTTGTCCTAGCCACTTCTTCTTGCTCTCTGGCCTCAAGCTCTGGGTTCCCCTGGTACGGGGCGATGGGAGGGTGCGGGCCCGCATGTCACGCGTCACACCGCGCCGTCACGCGGTGTCTAGGAGCCACAGCGACTCGTTTCTCCAGGAAAGGAGATATGTCGCCCCTTGGACTGGCAACCCTTCTCAAGCGCTCCAGGGGTCTCGGGCCCGCAGCCCCTGTTGCGGGGCGACTCCCCTCGACCCCCTGAACCGTCGGGCATGGCCGCGTTACGTCACGCCCCGCCCAAACAGCTTGTTCAACTGGCCCAGCCTATGCCTTCATCACGAAAAGGGGAAAGATGTTGACATCCACTGTGTGGTAGCTGGTAACCCAACACAGGGCTCTCGAGTCTGTGCAAGCCCAGTTTTGCAATTCACATGAAGTCTCAAAAAATAAAATGTCTGATGGACCCACTTGTGAATCTAATACAGGCTGAAGTAAAGTTATAAGCTCTCAGTGCATGTTGCTAGGTATTGCTATTTGTGAAATAGCTTGCAATTCCAAACAAGGATTGCGAGAACTTATCAGCCCTTGCATCGAGTTGCAAGGCCCTTGCAGGTCAGTCCCAGCCTGACTTATCTCAAATACAACTTATGACCACACCTGAATCCCAATTTGTTCGTCCAAATACAGCTTAGTTCATCTATCTAATACAGAAGTCTATACAGAGCGTCCGAAAACAGTTTTGATGCGATTTGATACACTTGAGAGCATAACTGTAATTGAATTAGCACTGGGTCGTCACCACTGCAAGGACATACCGTTGAGCCGACAGCAGAATAGCGTGCAAAGTTTATAGCTGGCGAAGGAAGCATCAGTAGATGGTGAACACACTGAAGCACACATACCAGAAGGGAAATAGACAGAGAAGCAAACTGCAAGGTCAGTTAGCGGAGGACCGATGATATCTAGATATATACCCAGCCAGTTAATTGGGAGCAGCCGCAGCCGCAGCACGTCGCGCACGAATCACACGGAGGCCAGCGGGGCCATCCTCGCCTTCCGAGTCATCATCGGGGGGCAGATACGGTGTTGCGCCAACGCCAAATGTATTGCTGTCGGAGGTCAGTCAGATTGGGTCCGAGAAGACGAAACTACGAACCTCTGCCACCAGCCTAACGTCTCCTCCGCCCATACACGACCCTCGGGTGTTTCCTCCTCGAACAGCGAAACAATGGTCTTGAACATGTCCTTGTAGTCGAACAGGCCGTCGTGGCCTTCGTGGTTCCAGTCGGACGAGCTGAGCATCGTGCGTGCCTGCAATAGCAGCAGTCAGTAGTCGACAACAAAATATGACAAGTACCTGGATGCAGGCATATGCTATCATTGCAGGTGTGACTTTATATGTCTTGTGGAGGCGCGCATTGCAGTTTGCGGGCAACGGACCTTTCGGTGGCATCTTCGCGCGGCGTGGGGAGCACCAGATGTGGCGGAAAACCTTTCAACACATCAGTACCATTAAATGTCGGTGGTTAGACGTACAGTGAGTGGGAGACAGCCGCGAAGAAGCCCATCATCATATTTTCCTTCGTTGTAGTTGCTCCAGAGCATACTCGGAAGGTCGCCCCGCTTGAATTCGAAAGTGTTGTCGAGAAGACTGTTGAGGAGGCTATTCGTGGTTAGTCGGGGCAAGGAGGGACAATTGAAAGCAACATACGCTTGACCAGCAGCGCTGGAGATAGGTGGTTGACAACAGCAGGCAATGCAATACAACGGGCCACATACGATATAAGCAGTGGACTGTAGAAGTGGTTAGTGATGGCCGAGACAAACAAAAGTAATACACGTACGGGTCGTTGCCCTTGGGCTGCTCCCAGCGCAGTGCGGGCAGCTTCAAGCGGTCGTCCCAGGTGAGTACAAGATAGCTGGAAGTTTTGAGTGAAAACACAAGAGAACACCCAATGAAGACACACCGAAGTTGAGGGTGGACCAGTTCACGGTCGTTTTTCTTCTCGGAGTCGCAGAGGTCGGGGTAGATTACACCTCCATCGGGTTTGAAGTAAGTAGTGCGGTGTTTCAGCCCATGCGTGTCGTTCGTCCGCGTGCCGCGGGCAGTTCTATGAATCTACAATTGCAGGCAGTCAGCAGCGGAGGAGAATGGTTTGGATACAAACGTGAGCAACCAACGCGTTCCATGGGCCCACATCAGAGTGAGTATTGAGGTACATGTACTGAAAAACTGGTGCGAGATCAGGGTGGTGGGCGAGAACAGCTTGAAAAATGTCGATGCAGCGCTGGCGTGAACGCAACTCGCTGGATGGGTCAGGGAATGTACAGGACGCCAAAAGGGCAAGGGCGTACCTCGATGTAAGCTCCGATAGGTCCACTTCTCCACCCCACTTCGCTTGTGCTCCAAAAGTGAAAATTGTCGTGATGTTTGCGTATGGGCTGCATGTCCGCACAATGTATGGCCCCAGTTCGTCGCAGCGCAGTCCTGCTGACCGCTCGGGACTGTAAAGCGTCAGGAAGCGCGTGACAGCATTCGAAAAGATGGCCATACGCGTAGCGAAGCATCTTGGGCTTCTTGGGGGGTGGGCCAGACGCGGCCTTGAGCCCGAGGGTGACCAGAATAGATTCCATATCGCGTTTGTTGTTCTCGGAAAGAGTTGGGAGGATGGGAGCTTCGTTTTCGGCGGCTGGCTGGGACATGGTGGACGTTAAGAGCAAGACACGTCGACGCGTTACCGTGACGTCACGCGTCATTGATGGGTGGCTTCTTCGCTCGCCCATATTGCTGAGAAAACAGTGCAAAAGTAACTTGGGACTTTGCTTGTCTACACCCGGTCTAGCTCCGCCAGCTCCAGCGCTTCCTTGTCGTTCAGCGGCAGCTCATCACCACCCTTTCCGCTATCATCACCCAGCAAGTTCACAAATAACAAATTTTTATAGCTAGTTACCTTGAGTGCGGGATCGCCAGTAAAGTCAGGATCATTGACAAGTTCATGAGTCGTAATGAAAGTGCGTTGGGACTCAGAGATGTGATGATGATGACGGGGTGGCGTCTTGGTGAGATCATCATCGATGGGCTGGAACCGGTGGCGACTACTGGCGGTGGTGGTTGGAAGTGACATGGAGGAGACTGGTTTTGTCGACGTCGAACTAGATGGGTTCATCCGCTGGCGCATGCGTCGCAGAACTTCGCAATCGGTGTTCCCGAATAGCAATCTGGCGCTCAACGCGGCGACGATTTGTAAGTCCATATAGACGCTTAACAAGACGGTGCGAAAGCTCAGCCTAGAGTAACTTGAAATCAGCAAACATCTAGAGAATTAAACAAATATACCGTCTGGGTTGAGTATGAATCAGTCGTCCCAAATCGCCGTATAGATGGCCCATAATAACCTAGAGAGTGAATTTTGTATGTCTGAAGATTGAACTTCTTAACCTTATGCGTTGTTGTCTCGGAGTCTAGAATGATCTCCTCCTCCTCTCGCTGGCCATCTGCTTCTCGCTGTCTTCTCACTGCCTCTGTTGCTCGTCGAATTCGCCCGCGGAACTCTTTTGCAAGCTCTCGTGTGTCCGCTCCACTTGTTTCCCGCTCAAACCTCCGCAGATTAGCACCAAGAGCCTTGTAGACACGATCAAGCTCTGCAAGAGTTGAATCGTTGTGTAATCGCAGCTTGGCTAGCCCGTGGTAGAGCATCAGGTCAAACCAGATGTCTTGAAGAAGCTCGTTGTGCTCTGGGATCAGGCCTTCGATGACTGGAAGAATGCACTATCGAATGTCAGGCAAATAGTTGCGTCATCCTAGAGACATACCTGTCCCATATCTTCAAAATCCCGCGCAGCCAGTTTCTTCATGTCGGATGGGTTTGTATGGATAGGCCGAATAGTTCCTGGAAATGAAGGAACTTGGCGGAATCTAGTTGCCAGTTAGTTTGTAGTCAGTATGATGTACGGAAAAGAATACCGCTCATCGAACTGCTGAATACCATCATCAGTGCAAGCATTAAGTAGCCGGACAGTATGCGTGAATGTCTGCTTGATAGTCCCCAGCTCAACTTCATGTAGCAGGTCGGGGACAAACATATCAAAAAGATTGAGCCCAAATGGCACGAGCTTTGAAAACGCATTCTAAGATATGAAAGACAGAACATCAGGTCATGTACATAAACACTTACCCGTGTAGGAATCCAGGAGAACGGCTGCAGAACAGTGTTCACTGCTTTTCCCGCAACCAGTCGCCCATTCTCGAATATCCACCGTCGGACCATTTCAATTGTGTCTCGCCACCGCTCTGTGTCCACCCGCTTGTTTGCACGTCGTTTGAGGTCAGCCTTGGTGCCGACATTCGGTATCTCCGTCAGCTTGATCAGACACTTGGGGCAGGGACAGCCTCCAAGGTTCCGGATAGTAGCGAGCAATACTCTGAGTCAAAGATGTCGGCATTGAATAGAAACAACAAATAAACTCACTTTTCCGGATAATCAGCCCCATATGTGAAGAAACGCGGGAAGAAGAGGCGCTCGATACCATCGAGACACACGATTCGGATGCCGTTCTCGTAGGCATCAAGGAATTTGCCGTCGAGCAGCATTGCCCAAACAGCATGCATCAGCTCACGCTTGAGATGGGTTACAACCTCAGGACGGAGCTTCTCGCCATTGAACGTGGTGCTGAAGAAGTCGTGGATGTCGTCCGGCAGCTGCACAAATGTCAGAGACTGAGTATTGCAACCTTGCAAGAAGGAAACACCCACCGAAGGAAAATACGCTGCATGGAACCCGAAATTGCCTGTGGGTGTGCAGCGGAAGTACTTCGAGTGGTTACCGAAGAAGACATAGAGCGGCCAGAGCGAGGCCATGCCAAAGTTGGCGAGATGGGTGGAGTCGGAGAACAGCATGAAGGCTGCAACGACTGTCTCTATTTGCGGCCCCACCTTCTCCCGAATCGTGGCATGTTCCTTGAGCATGGCCTCCGACGAATAGACCTCGCTGTACAGCGTCTCGTGGCGAGTTGGAAGGGGGAGGAATGCCGCTGTTGTCGACAGGAGCGTCTACGGGCGGCATGTCGAAATCCGGGTCGCGGGGGTCGTGTTCGCGGTCCCAACGCTGCGCGAATGGTGTCGTGTGGAAATGCTCGAAGAGCGGACCCTTTACTACCTCCTCCAGAACTTCCAGAAGCGGACGGTACATTATACCGCCCACCGTAAACTTGGGTGCATCCTCCTCCGGCCCATTGAAGTCGGGTTGGCGAGACGGCAGCCGAATCTTCACTGAACCTTCGTGCCATCCACTCGGTGGCTCCCCCGGAAGAATGTCGGCGGCTTTATCGAGCCGCTCCAATTCTTTGCGCGCGGAAAAGCCCTCAAAGTCCGCCTTCTCGAAATCCGGACTGAGAATGACATCGTTGACGAGTTCGTCAAGCCCCCTGCGGCAGAGCTCGTGTTGGGTGTAAGGTGGAACCACGCCATGAGCCGCGCAACGCTCGCGCTCAAGAACGGGAACCATGTGTCGCCGTTGTGGTCGTGCCTCTCGGCCTCGACGGTGAGGAATTCGCCAGCTTGACACACATCCTCGAGCCCAATCGAGTGGGCCACCAGAAATTGGCACTTCACCGCTGGAAGCGCCAATCTGTCACGCTCAGAGCGCCACTTTGTGACGTGTGAAGCGCCAAGGCCGTGACAGATAGTGACAGTGTAATATGTTGCTCACATCAAGGAGGACTGATGTGAAATGAGTGGACGCAAATGTGCCAACCTCTTTCTTTACCACTGAATTAGTGGGTCAGATATATAAAACTGCTTAGCTAGCATAGCTACATGTGGTTTGCACCTCAATATACAGTGTAATAATGACAGAATTCAACAAAATCCCCTTTCCTTCGTTGACTTAGAATTGAATTATGGGGCTTATGATGAGCAATCTATGTTAGAGCCTGTGAGGAAACTATCTACTAGGTCTCATACTATGTATCTAGCACATTTCCTCCTTGTCATAAATTTTGCACTTGGTGCATTGTAACGCTGCAGCGCCAAAGTGTGACCTACATGTCACCCTGCAGCGCCAGTCACATCTACATGTCACCCTGCAGCGCCAGATGTGTGACATGTAGCGTCAAGCGTGTGACGCGCAGCGCCAATGCAGCGTCACAGCAGCGCCAGTGCGACGGAACTGCAGCGCCAGCATGACGTGACTGAAGCGCCAGTATCACATGTTGCTGCGCCAACATTCTGTGGCGCAGCGCCAACATTTTGTCAGTGCACGGCGTTAAGGCTTGACTGGGGTGCTGCAACTGACCATTGACAGTTAATACTATTGGTAGTTACTACACTGATGCCTAGCTCTGAAGTTCACGCGAGAAGCCGCTGAGGAAACAGGCTGGGTGCCCGGCCCCGGATCCAAGTCGGAATTCCACGATTAGCGTTCGTCCAGACGTGAGGGCGCCACCGGGGCTCGCTAGCCGCTAAACGCGGAACGACAGCTCACGCTGTCGCGTCCTCACACCAGGAGGACTGGAATGCCACGGTCCAGTCCCCGCAGACTGCCCGAATCCCCATCCCACCTCCATGCGTCCTGAAACTGTGCCGCGCGCGCGCCCAGTACCAGTCATTCATCGCAGAGTACCCTCTCCGCCGCGCCAAACAGTGGCTCACGCTGTTCGAGCAACAGGCCACGAGCGACGGCCGGGGACACCGTCCAGGTCGTTGTAAGCGATGAAGCCTGAGGTATCTTTGCAGCATTCATGTCCATCGATGAAGTCAGATTCAGCTGCTGCGCGAAACACGGACAGCCCAGGAGCCCGGTGCGCTGAAGCCTTATCAAATAGATACGCTATACTAGTCGGAACACACGTTTGGGTCTTGCCCGGCGAGATGAGCGGAAGCACTACCCATGCATGGTCAGCACCCGCTACTAGTACGGCGCGCAAGAGGGAGACATACCTTGGTATTCGTCACTGCCATCAGCGGCAAGAAGGGACGACGCCCCCGGTAACCAGATTCGCGCGCACGCGTCATTGACATGCGGGTTGAGTGTGTAGAAGCTGGGGAGCGTGATTGCGTCTGCAGAGTCAGCAGTCGGCACAAAAATGACTGGTTATGGATGTATGCGCACTGCTGATGAGAAGCCGTGGGCAGAAGTCCTCCTACTGGACGGTGCCACCGGCTGCACACGCTTGGATGCATTACCGCGGTACCGGGTCAGGTATGCGGTTGGCGCTGATTCCGATTTGCGCAAGACCTCTGGAGCCAAGATTGAAGTGTAGTCGCCGAGACAACAGTCGTGGCGGTCACGCTGCCACAAGACCATGATAGAGTTGAATTTCAGCCGAAACAGGCCGCGAGGAAGCTCTCGAAGCGGAGGCCTGCCAGCCAGCACACTGCGAGTCTTAATCTACGACTAACGGAGAGCCGTTGGAGTCGTCACCAGCAGAGGTGTGACAGTAGTTGTCCAGTTTGATGCCTTCATGAATGAGAATCATCCACAGAGTGTCAGTGTTTCCGTTGAAGCAGGGAACCAGTTGATGATGGTGGTCCAGAGTCAAGAAAATCCGCGCGTGACATCAATCTGATGGGTGCGCCAAGATGTCGTAATGCAGCGCCAACTGCGGAGATAATGCGTTGATGCAGCGCCAAAAGAAGCATTAGAAGCGGTGAAGTGCCAATTTATGGTGGCCCCAATCGAGTCCTCCGGGTCATGCGTTGGCCGGTGTGGGTAGACTTTGTAGACACCTTGCGCGTTTTTGTCCGTCGCTACCCATTCCGCAGGCTGTGCTTGCTGTTGAGCACGTTCGGGTTCAAGTTCGACGATTGAGGGTGGCGGTGGAGGTGGAGGTAGAAGGGATGGCGGCGCGTCAGGGAGATTGTCGCGGAAACGAGCGGGGAGGATGATTTTGCGACCGCGGCGGTTTGTTTTGGGTGGTGGCGGCGGATGGTCAAGAAGATACTATGTAAAAAGTGAATGGCCAGCTTAGAATGACTGATGTTTACACACCTGTGCTGCTGCAGCGTCGCGAGCAACTTGCTGGTCAGCGTCCAGTCGAGCCTGCTCTTCAGCTTCGCGGTCGGCAGATGCTTGCTGAATTTCTTGCTGTTGTACCCGCGCACGAGCGGTGACAGACGCTTCGTTGTTTCTCGAGCCGTTTTTTGCACCCCCGGAGATGGCTGGTGAAGCCATTGGCAGAAAATTGGTTGGTGCAGAATGCGCATGTGGGCATTGCGAGAAGTGATGACGGCGCTGTAATGGAGTGGATAAGCAAGCAGAATAAGAGTTACGGAAGGACGCACTTGGGTGCTTGAAAGTGACTTCTAAGACTATGAAAGCCCTTCGGGGACGTTGACAGCCTCCTTGAATGTCGTGCCAAGTTAGCACGATGCTTGACGATGGATCGGGCAGGGGTTGTAAGGTTCGTGCGCGCTGCGTTGACAGCACCTAGTAATCGCAAGCAAGGGCTGTGTGTAGTGTTATTATTGGCTGTCAGCTTGGGGCAAGACTTGGGCTTACCTCTGGGAGTACGCGTTAGCCTTGAAGTCGTGGTGACGGGGTCTGCCAAGAGTTATGAAATGATCGGATCACACTTGCCATGCCTCGTGACTTTTGGCAGGCCTGGCAAGGGTCCGGCCCGTTTGGTGATGACTTGCCCTATGTCTTGGGCACCAACTCTACTAGGCAGCACTCTTTGGCTATGGACTCGTTCCCTTCAGCAGGGGTAGGACACTCTAGACGACTACTCGTATCCTGTGACACCGCTGTCACACAACGTGACAGCGGGGCGCCTCGAGTCGCCCCGAGCTGTCCCTACCCTGCTCTCTATTGCAGCAGTGGCACCATCTATGCTGCCTGGTTGCCGACCACCCAGCTATGGGGGTTGAACCATCTTTCCCACACTTGTCAGACTGGCAGGAGACCGTCACGTGGGCCCGGGCCGGCCCTGTTCCTGACAGTGACTATAATATAGTATAGTCATAATATAATATGATATATTCAAACATAATCATATTCAAGTGATCCACGAAGGGCATAATATAATCATAATATTCTGAATATATTTAATATTTAATCAAGCATAATATAATTCTGGCCAGCACTAAACCTGCGTGCTCAATGTAAGGAACCACTGCGCGACGATGTGGTGGTCGGCTTCCGTCTTCCCGGGGAAGAACAGCGTGACCCATGTCGTCATCGACAGACTCTGTCTCTTGTCATTGTCCCACGCCACACTCCAGCTTAGCTTTCCCAATGTCACTACTTAAGCCAGTTCTGTGCCTGTCCACTGCACTTGCTTGGTAAGGACCCTGTTCCAGTTTGTACATAGATGACAAATGCAACAAAAAAAATAGAAATAAAAAGATTTACCTGGAACTTGCTGATGCACTACACCTGCATTGAACAGGGTGGCCATGCCAGATGTCAATACAAACAGTCACAAGGTGTATGACCACTCAAAGGTGAAAACATGAAAAATAGATCTGAGTCAAGGGGCCAGCGGATCAGCAAGCCGAGACATAGAGTCACGCCTGTGACATAGGGTAGGGTGGGTCCCCAAGTGAAATTTTCACTTTTTGGACTTATGTCCAGGGAAGGTCCAGGGAGGTCCAGAGATATCCAGGAGGACTATAAATACACTTTTATTTGTTTGATTCAGTGCCTTGGTCTAGCATGTGGTGCACAGGTAAGGATTTTATTTTGTGGCTCATCGTGACTGACTCTGGTGCAGTATCATCTGTACTGTGTGGGTCTTTCAGAGGCGCCGAGCACAAATTGGTCCTGTAATGCACAAACGCCAATAGGCAGAGTTGCAAGAAAGTAAAACACTGAGTGTCATTTTATAGAAATGTGTTCAATCATTTTTGTGATGACAAATATTTTTCCTTTTTTGGAAGTTACATGGCTTAGTCATGCTTAGTCAATAGGGTAGGGAGGGTCTGCTGGAACTTATTTCACTTTTTCGACCCGATGTCTAGGATTTTTTTTGCGCCCGCCCCTTGATCTGAGTTTTGAGTGAGCTTGCATTCATACAGTAGCTTTATAATAATAATGGCTCATATGATATCTGGTTCAATATTGGTCTATCAAGTGAGTATAACAGATATCATATCACAAATGATACACAAGTATCATTATCCTTATCTACAAAGGCTGAGGATGTGATATCATATCCATTTAATCAAGGCACTTCAGAAGCCGTGCCCGCGGAACCAGCCCACCATCTCCTTGAACGCGGCCTTCTTCGCGGCGCGCACGGCAGGGTCGGCCGGGTCGCCGCGGACCGCGAAGCCGTGGCGACACCCGGGGAAGTATACACGTTTGTAGCCCGGGGCGAAGCGCCCGCCGCCGAGGATCGCGTCGGTGATCGCCTGGTCCGCGGGCGGGAACACGGGGTCGTGCTCGCACGCGACGATCAGCAGCGGCGCGGCGGCGGTGGCGGCGTACGCGTGTGCGTCCTCGGCAGACGGCCCGCGCCGGACCTGCGATGGATGGGCGAGCGCGACGGGGGACACGCGCTGCGCGAGGGCGAGGTCGAGCGCGGCACGTGCGCCGAAGCAGTAGCCCGCGCAGGCGATGTGCGTAACCCCGGAGAGCGTGAGCGCGGCGAGGACGGCGTCGAGGAGCGGGCCGGTGTGGGCCGGCTGGTGCTGCGGGAGCCAGGCCTGCCAGTCGAACGGCGGGGCCTACGGGGTGTCAGTCAGCCGAGGCACGTGGACATGACGGATGACGCACGTCGGGGTCCAGCGCCGTCGGCGGGACCGGGTCGCCGGCGAACAGGTCCGGCACCACCGTCTGCCGGCCGATCAGCGTCGTCCGTGACAACGTCCGCTGTGGCGCACCTTGTATCCGTTGCGCGCATAGTCGTCCGCGAGCAGCTGTCAATCAACTCGGATCAGCGGCACCCCCGGGCCACGCGGCGCCGGCGCACCTTGTTGTTCGGCAGCGCGAGCCCGCACGCGTCGCTGAGGTACAGCACCGCCTTCGTCGCGTCATACTCCCCCGCGGGCGTCGCGACGTAGCACGGGACCCCGCCGAGCGTCGTCATCGCGCCCTCTGGCGTGCCCTCGTGTCGCACCCCTGCATCGGTTGTCAGCTTGCGCGGGCCCGGGCCGAAGAAAACGGAGCGGACCTTTGAAGCAGTCGGCGCAGAAGCCAGCGTCAGTGGAGTTGGTGGTCATTGTGGTGGACTCGCAGGGAGCGCTCGTAGCCTCTTATACCGCACCTCGATGCTCGGATGTCTGCACGGCGCCCGTCGCCGATCTTCTGACGGCGCCGCCGCGAGAAGCTTGGCCACGCCCGTGTCCGACGCAGGCGCATGAAGGAGCGGCCGGGACCGTGACCAGAAGCAGCGTAAGCATTAGGCAGCGATTTTAAGTTACTTACTCGAATGTGAAAGGTGGCATCAAAGACCCAAGTTCCGCATCGTGATTGCATGATGTCGTAGGCGGGACTTTGTGCCGACGTGCCTCTGCGCGAAAGTAAGTATCTTGGCCCGACAGCATCTCTAGCCGCACCAAAAAAACCACACCAATACGCTATATATAAGCGTGTGTACGTGGCAGCGGACCATTCGCACGCACTTCGTCACTTTCCGTTAATGCATCCACCGCCCGTATTCGAACGCGCAGCGGCTGGGATGTGCAATGGCGTGATCAGCGATGTCGCACACGACTCGCCTCCTTCCCTCATCGCCTTCTTCTTGAATTTCTTCTGCGCTTGCTTCTCCAGCCGTGACCCGCTGCGCAGCCCAGCCAGCAGCAGCACCAGCACCGACACGTTGTACGCGTTCCGACCGAAGCCTTGTCCAGAGGCCATGCTAGACGGACGTAAAATGACGACGACCGTGACGGTGAGTCTGACGACACTAAAGCGCTTGCCAATGTGATGCTCTGGCCAGCTCTTTGGGACGGTCTACGATGACGAAGTCGGTGGCCAGGCCTGTAGCGCAGAGGAGACGTCGGCGACCGGTCGTCGTCGTCGTCGTCGTCAAGAAGGAAAATTGCACGACACTGGATCACGTCAGGCACATTTGTCCATTGATTGTCGATAAGACTGATACTACGAGTGATTGTCGACACGATAACGATCATCCGAGGCACGGCAACTCAAACACGACACCATCCGCAGTAATACGCAGTGCCGACGCGCGATGCCGGGCGGACCGCGCACCCTATCATGCGTGGATGCACCACATACAGGGCCGACAACGCGGTTCGGCGTGCACGGCGTGTAACTGATCGGTGTCAATTGGCATGCAGCGCCCGTTTTTGGGAATTGTCCCGAATGCCTGACGGCGTCGCGTCTCCCAGCGGCAATAACACGCGTATTTATACCGGGCGGTGCGAGATCCCTTCCCCTCCCCCCAACCTTCTTGCCGTCCGTCCCCTTCGGCTCGCCAACAACCCAAACCCCGATGCCGCTCCTCCCTCTCCCTGCCCTCGCCGCCGTTCACAACAGGCTCTTCCCCGCAGGCGAGTACCTGCCCGCGCCCCCGACGCCCGCAGGCATCTGCGCGAGCGCGCAGCTCGGCCCGACCATGAGCTGCGTCGAGCTCAGTCCGTCCCCCGACGAGCGGCGCATATTCGCGGCCGTCGTCCTGCTGGAGGTGCTCCTCGTGCTGCTCGGCATGTGCGCGGTGGAGCGTCTACTGCGCTGCGTCATCGCGAGGCGCATCCGATCCGAACATTCGCCCGAGCCCGCGCCGGATTGGACGGCTTCGAACTTGAAGGACTTGAACGGGCGCAACTTGAACTGGAATTCGGACTGGGACGCGGAAATGGGAAAGATTAGGGCGCCAGCGCAAGTGGTTGGGGGCGGGCAACAGATTCCCGATGATGTCGAGGCTGCGGGAGAAGAGGCGGGAGGCGAACTGCTGGCATGAGACGCCGGGAGGCTGCGGCACGTTCCATCTTTTTTCTGCCCACGGACCCATTTAGGCCGCTCGACCCAAGAATACACATCCAAATCCCGCGGAGCTTCACGAGTGCGGCGGAGAGACAACAGATATACTATTCAGTGTGTGGTACTACGAAATAATCGTTCTTTCGTCAAACTTCAGAGCGTGATGGGGACGCCTTCTCGGGCACGTCGCACGTGACGGTCGTGCCGCCGCTGGCGCAGTCTCAGCATACCGTGAACAGCGCAGTAGAAGGCGAATCGCCAGTTGTTTTTCGACGACGGTGATGGGGGAGCAGCCGAGGCCAATCGGGACGTTGAGCCCGGGCCCGGCGAGGTCGAGGCCGAGCAGCGCGGCGGCGGCGGACACGGCGCGGCTGGTCGCGGACTGCACGCTCGCGCAGCACTGCGGCGCGCTCGGGGGCGTGGCCGGTGGGGTGTCCCAGGGCGTGACGCGATGAGCAATTCGGGGTCGGCAGATGGCAGGAAACTTGCAGCGAGAGCGAACAATAGCAGCCGCCGGGCTGGCGGACAACTTGACGAATGCACTGGCACGGTGCTCTTGTGGAGCGTGTTGTTCTTAGGAAATTCATACTTATTGGTGTGAATTTCGCAGCGCGCAACCCTTGACGCAGGATTGCTCGCACGCGGGGTGATTGTCTGAGCGTGCTCGCCGCTCAGGTGGAGCTCCTGGGCAGGCCGCGTCGTCAGAACGTGACATCGGAAGAAGAACGAACACACGGGAGGGATAACGAAATCAGTGGGAGTGGGACTCGTCAAGTCCGCATCACTCCCACTGATCAGCCCCAGTCCCACTGATCAGGCTCGCTGAGCGTCTGATCAGTGGGATTGATGCCCTTGGGCTTGACACAGCGTGACGCCGGAGATCAAGCCCAGCGCTGCGCAGCAGGCCTCCGCGGGCCGCGGCGAGCGGCAGCCCGCGGCAGCGTGGGGTCCGGGGCGAAGCCCTAGTCGGGGTCCGGGGTGGAAAACCCCGGCCGTCGCGGCCGGCGCCGCCACTCTGCATGCTTCCATCCAAAAGAGGATGAAACACGCCGGAAATGGACCCCACGCTCCGCGCAGCGGGCCACGCGGCGAGCGGAAGCCCCCGGCAGGGTGGGTCCAGGGCAAGGCCCTGGTCGGGGTCCGGGGTGGAAAACCCCCGGCCGTCGCGGCCGGCGCCGCAACTCGACGTGATGCGACATGTCTCGATCCATCAACGCGGATGATATTGATTCACTGAGTCCCACTCCGGGCCCTCGGGGATGGGACTGGGACTGGGAAAAGTGGGACTCGAGTCCCATTGTCCCAGTCCCAGTCCCACTACTCTCGTATATACTCCTCGTTGAGCCGACTATCGTCGGGGTATCGGTCTTCTGGAGTACATCGGGCCGGTGGTGCCGCTGGGACGACCAAGCCCCCGTTCGCGGCGGCACAGGGCGTCGTCCTGGAGGGCCGCAGGGTCGGCTTGCGCAAGCGCCCGTTGAGCGGCGCAAAGCCGGGACCATAGTCGATGTCCAGAATGAACGTATGAAAGAAGGAGTATTAGATGGAGTAAAGATTGCGAGTTCACACTCCACCCACCAGAATCTGCCGCACTTCAGCGTCATGCGCGCAAAAGCGGTAGAAGCCAACAATCGGATGGGCGACGTTTGCGGGGAGAATTGAGAAATCAGGGAACAGTGTCTGATGGAGGCGACGACAAGAATAGAATGAGAGCGGCGAATGGCGGCGAGACGAAATGAACAAGCAAGGATGTTGCAGCTAAGGGCATGACCCATGAGAGAGAAAGACAAGAATCATAGAGTCGCATGACGTGGCTATCACTGATTGCCTTGATGGCGACGTCAGCGTTAGAATCGTTGGCACCGCATGTTCGAGCCTTACCTGCTGTACTTTTTATTTTTGCCGTGGTGTGGCACATTCAGCGAACCCTCCGTTGCATGCCGACAGCACCGTGCATGCGCCGAGTAAGAACTTAAAGAAGAAGAAGAAAAAACGTAAGTACCGTGGCCGCCTGGGTCACAGAGCTGAGTGAGCAGGCTACTTCCACGCTGTGGCACCTTCACCGAACTCTCTGTCCACGGCGGGGTCCTGGGCCCTGAACTTGCTCGCATACGTCCTAAGTACGTGCGCCATATCCTCTTCCATCATAGTTGCTGAAGCCAAGACAGGCTCGACGCAGCCAGAACCGGGGCGCAAATGCGTGCAAGACAGTGTCATCGGAAGTTGTCTTTAAAGTTTACTATGTATCAAGTACATGCTCAGGCCGGCAGTAAGTGCTGCAACTCATCTCCGCCACTTACTCAGAAGCACAATCCTGGGAGGTCGACACAAGGTTCGATGTGAGTTGTTCGAACCTTTGGTGATGTATTTTGGCCTGACAAACTCCCCCGCGACTTTCCAGACGATGATGAATGACATTTTCCAGGATCTCATTCTTTCAGGAGACGTTATGATCTACCTCGACGATATCCTTATCGCACATTCGGACCTCCGTAAGCACCGCGAGATCGTCCGCGAAGTCCTTCGGAGACTCCGAATGCACAAGCTGTACCTTCGCAAGGAGAAGTGCGACTTCGAGAAATCGTCAATCGAGTACCTGGGGGTTATCATCTCTCACAACCACGTCAAAATGGATCCCGTTAAGGTCGCCGGAGTCTCCGCATGGCCTCCGCCCGAAAACAAGAAGGATGTCCAGCAGTTTCTGGGGTTTGCTAATTTCTACCGCAGGTTCATTCGGGATTTCTCGGCCCTCACGCAGCCTCTCTTTGCGCTCACCAAGAAAGACCAGAAATGGACCTGGGGAGACGCCGAAGCCGCCGCCTTTCAAGCTATCAAAGACGCGGTCGTCTCAGAGCCCGTCTTAGCAATCCCGGACGACTCTCGGCCTTTCCGACTTGAAGCAGACCACCCGTAGGTGTAAGATTTAGCCTAGGGTCTAGGAATAGCTAGAATAGCGGTAGCCTAAAACTCTAGGAAGACTTTTCCCGACCAAGAAAGACCTTAGAAATGGGTTATTAATACATTAAATTAATAGATTTGATGCTAAAAATACTATATATAGTAATGCTAACTCCTTTTCTTCAGGCCGATGACCCGGTATATAGTGGGGAAGGCCTGTGTTCAGGATTATCCTAATTGGGACCAAAATGATATAGCTTGACACAGTGATCAAAACTGCTGATGGCCATCAAAAATCGTTCCACATCAATAATATATATCAAGGACCACAATCCCCATCAAAATTAAGGCAATATAAAGGCAGAAAATAAATAAATAAAGAATAATATCATAGTAATTACACTGCTAAAACATAGGGACTAGGAATACCTAGATTTCTAGGCTACCGCTATTCTAGCTATTCCTAGAGCTTTTTAGCCTAAATATCACCACTACGGCTCAGCAGACAGCTCAGATTATGCGACGGGGGCGGTTCTTTCACAACAATCCGCCCCGGACGGGAAGTGGCACCCTGTAGCGTTCTATTCCAAAAGCTTAAATGATGTCCAGCGCAACTACGAGATTCACGACAAGGAGATGCTCGCGATCATCCCGCACTCGAGGAGTATCGGCATTTCCTCGAGGGCGCCGCGCATCCGGTCGAGATCTGGACTGACCATAAGAATTTGGAGTATTTCCGAAAGGCACAGCACCTTAACCGTCGGCAAGCCCGATGGTCGTTGTATCTTTCTAGGTTTGACTTCACGCTGCACCACGTCCCAGGTCGCCAGATGGGCCGCCCCGACGCTCTCTCCCGCCGGCCTGACCACGGCATCTCCGAAGACAACTCGGACGTCACCCTCTTGCGCCCTGAGATTTTCCACGTTCGCGCGCTGGAGGCCGTCACTGTCTCTGGGCCGGGGTCCGAACTTGTCCGCGACATCAAGGAAGCGCTATCCGGTGAGCCTGACCTAGAGGAGCCCGTCGCGCTTGCGGCCCGGCAACTCTTGAAGGTCCGAGGTCAAGTTCGGGGCCCCCGCTCATCACGTTCGGACGAGTGGGCCGTCTCGGGCGATCTCTTGTACTTCCGCGGCAAGGTCGTAGTCCCCAAAGACAAGGACCTATGGTGCAATTCACCTAGTCACCACTAGTTTTGAACAAGCAATATTAGTCCCTGGGAAATACCTCTATTTCTTATCCCTCTAGCCAAAATGAAGCTTTTAGCAAACTGAACATTTCCTCTAGAGGATTTGTGAAGACTCTCAGAACTGAAGGACTTATATAATTATGGTGGAGTCTTTCCGCCATTTATTATATAATCATAGGATTTTTAGTAATTTTAAGACCCCTATGGCTCTGTAGATAGTTGAAGCTATACTAGATAGCTGTTTCCACATGAGATTAGCTGAGAGATAGCACTAAATTGAGTGTTACTCTGTCTAGAAAATACACAAAATCTCTATTGTTTGACCACATCTCATGTCCATCCTCCAGTTCCGCCATGCTTATATAATGCTTAGATAATGTACAAAATTGGTTGTGACTAAGTGAATTGCACCATAAGGAGGCGCATCATCGAGCTCTGCCACGACACGCTGGTCGCCGGACACGCCGGTCGGTTCAAAACCCTAGAGCTGGTTTCGCGCAACTACTGGTGGCCACAGATGGCCCGCCATATCGGACGCTACGTCGCGACCTGCGACTTGTGCTGCCGCATGAAGGCCCTCCGAAGGCTCCCGCACGGAGAGCTACACCCGACCGAAGTCCCCCCCGAATGCTGGCACACCGTCACGGTGGACTTCATCGTCGAGCTCCCCGAAGCTCACGGGTACGACGCGGTCATGGTAGTCGTCGACGCTCTTGGCAAATGCGCCCACTTCACCGAGTGCCATACGACAATAGACGCGGTCGGAGCCGCCCGGTTGTACTATCTGAATGTCTGGAGGCACCACGGAACCCCCGAGAAGTACATTTCGGACCGTGGTTCGCAGTTCATCGCTGACTTCATGCGCGAACTCTGGCGCTTAATTGGCGTCAAACCGGCCACCTCTACGGCTTACCACCCGCAAACCGACGGACAAACCGAACGCGTTAACCAAGAGCTCGAGCAGTACATCCGGATCTTCACCAACTACCAACAAGACGACTGGGACGAGCTTATCCCTGCCGCTGAGTTCGCCTATAACAACCACATTCACTCCTCCACTCAACAGGTACCCTTTATGACGGACACTGGTCGGCTCCCCCGAATGGGTTTCGAGCCAGGCGCCCGCTCAGAGTTGGAGTCGGTGAACGAGTGTCGCGATCGGATAGCTAACAGCGTCTCCGAGGCAAAGGCCGCGCTCGTTAAAGCCAAAGACGAGTATAAACGGTACTACGATCGGAAACGTTCGGATGCTCCGAATATTCAAGTTGGTGATAAGGTTTGGCTGGACGCTTCTGACATCAGAACGACTCGGCCCTCCGAGAAGTTCTCCCACAAGCGCCTCGGACCGTTCAAGGTGCTTGCAGAGGTTAGCAAAGGTGCCTACAAGCTCGACCTCCCCCCGCGTTACTCCAAGCTCCACCCCGTCTTCCCCATTGTTAAGCTCGAGCCCGCTCAGGACGACCCCTTCGATGGACAACCCGGCTACGACGAACCGCCCCCCGAACTAGAGGACGGAGTTCCCGAATGGGAAGTCGAGGAAATCTTGGATGCCAGGATAAGGTATAAGCGTCTTAACTATTTCGTCAGGTGGAAAGGCTACGATGCTTCACACGACTCGTGGGTTCGGTTCGACCGTGTCTTTGCGCCAGACAAGATTGCGGACTTCTATCGGAGATACCCGGGTAAACCACGGCACATCGCCTCAGCGACCTTCGACTCCTTGCCCTTTCGAACTATGCGTCGGGACGCCGCATTCAAAGGGGGGGTGATGTCAGGGGAACCCCCGCTTCGGCCTCCTTCGGACCCTCCGAACGCATCCGAGGCGCATCCGACCAGCGCCCCCTCGGACGCTCCGACCCACCCCAACCATCGTCCACGGCCTCCTTCGCCCGCACAATCACCGATCCGTCAAGACCCTCCCAACGATCACCTTGGGACAGAGCCTGCGACGCCGCTCAGGCCTTCTGCGCTCTACGTCGGCAGTTACGGACGACCAGTATATAGTTGGCTCCCTAGCAGGCGGACCCTTAGAGTTTCTTCTCTTTGGATCCTCCCCTGCTAGGTCGGTCCCTCCGTGTATTCCCGTAGCTTTTATTCACGCTTTGGATCCTCCCCTGCTAGGCTTTCATCGGAGTCTCCAGGGTTGCCCTTACATGGTCCAGGACCTTGAAACTGAGCTTGGGGTTGTTGAACGATGGAAGGCGGACCAGCTGGAGTATCAACAAGCAGAGCGTGAAACTGGTGATATTCAGCAAAAGCGATGGGCGAGGCCAGCCTACCGGGAGGTCATGCACCAATACTTCAAGATTCTGCGCGCTAAGGAAGAAATCGAGCTTCTCAATATTGAAATACGGCGGGTATTGACATGGATGCGGGATGATGCTGCCGCCCTGCAGGAGAAGGGGGTGAAGCTGAGAGACACAAGTGGCAAGTCTCCGGAGAAGGCCGAGCAAGATGGTTTGATGGCGGTTCAGCTCGCAGAATATGCCTCCCGCCGTCATCGCTTCAATGACACCCACATTCGTCGGTTCCATTCACTCGCTATCTTGGAGGGCTTTACCGGCTCTTTACAGTTAGGGCAAGCAATCAAATCTTGTCGGGTGGAGATGAATGATATGGACATTGATGAGCAAGCGCCAACGACAATTTCCTTTGATGAGGTGATGGAGAAACGTGACGAGGAGTATGGCTCGGATGATGAAGGAGATGAGGCACAGGATACAGAGCTTTCAGATCTTATCTTTATGTTAGCTGGTCTTGGAATTGATCAAAATGAGGGTGTTGAATAGGGGGATATATAGCATGTGTACAAAGTATTGTTTTGATTCACGGGTCTGATGACATCAGAAACGGCTGATGGCCTCCGAGGTATGTAGGTGTATCAGCTTGAATCTGAAGGCTTGAGAGGGGGAAAAAGCTGATTTATATTTTATGATGGGATCAATTTAGATCGATTAGCATGAGGAATAGCTGAAAACTATATTAAGATCATAAATCTATAGCTATGTCAAAGTTACCTTAAATGGTAATTATCATTGATCAGATCAGATTAATCAGATTTGTTGTGATTTAGACCTAAGATTTGTCTTGTTTAGTAGACCACTCATGACCAAGGTAAAGTTTCCTAATATGGTAGTTATGATTGATTGCATCGATAGATCACAGACAATACTTAGAAAAGCTCCAAGTCTCAGAATTATTGACTTTATTGCAGAATTATAACCTCAGTTATCACAGCATAGGTACTTCAGAGACATCCCTTCATATTAGAAGGATCACCCACATGGGGTGATCCTTCTAATATGTAAGGATAAAGTGGATTAACAGGTGCTGGCAGGATTAGGGATCGGAACCGGACCGTACATACAGTAGTACGGGTACGGTACGGTGCGGCCGTACCGTACCCGTACTTCGCCGTACTTTACGGCCGGCTACGGTTGGATCCGGTGTGTACGGCTGTCAGGCAAAGCGATCCCATCATGTCACTTGCACAGCCGAGTGTGACGGCTCTGACGTGGCATCCTTAGAGCCGTCTTCTCAGAATCTCCTCCTTGATGGGAACAACGGCTGACAAGGCCAGTGGCCGACATCACATCAAAAGAAGTCAGAACCTACCTTCGCTACCGGCATTCCTTGCTAACTCAGGCTTTCAGCTCACAACGGCCGCGAGATGCGCGGCACTCTAAAGGAGTCGACTGCACAGGCACTAGCGAGTTCAGCAGAGGCAATCTTTGCCTTCTTCCTCCTCGGAATCTTCACTTTCCTCTTTCCTCTCGGCTCCTCACTCCTCACCTTCTGGGCTTGCTCTTCGGATTGGTCTGGCCTCATTGGCAGGCTTCCCCAGATTGCACTGCAACTCCTCTGTGCAGTCTATGTCTATTGGACTACTACATGTCTTGCTATTGGTGCGTCTCTGTCCCCTCTCATGTATTTGACAGTTCTGAATACCTACTTAGTCTATCGGCTTTTCCCAGGCTTTCAAAAAATGCTCTATCACCTGGTTGTGTCTCAGACATTTGCGAGCGGAGTTGTCTATCGACGCGACCATGTCTCACACATGAGGCTCGACCATTTCCGCCGCCTTTATATCCCTCTATTTCCCTCACACTGGGATCTTGAGTAGCAAAAGCGGTACAATGCTCCTCGCAAATATACTGGTGAGTCAAAACCCCCCAATCAACCGCGAGTCATTTATGTCCTCTGTTCGTAGGCCACCCCCGCCACAAGCCGATGACAGTATTTGTCAAAACTCACAATGCACGATCCTACGCGTTCAGTAAGTCAACACGAATGCTCGTAAAACTTTCTCATCTATTCCATGCAGCTGTATTTCCGGAAACTACCATCAATGAACTGTGTGAAATGCTCCGCGCGCGAGAGCCCGTGTGCGCCCCCGATTGGTCATATCTTCCTCTCTGGGAGACACGGTGTCCTTCGTGGATATGCATCAATAGCGGAACTGAATGTTCACGCATTGAGTCATTTTCTTGTTTTCCCGGGACTCTTTGGCGGCTCCTCGGGTATGCTTTGCTTGCGCTGAACTGTTCTATATTCACTCACATACAGCTTACAACGAACGCGGCTGGGAGCAGTGTGCTCTCGGTGCCAATGGCAAGCTCAAGGATGCCAGCGAGATTGACTTTGGCGTTGACCCTGGTGTGAACGATGAAGGTACGGCAACAAATCATCTCAAACCTATTGCTCATGGCTTTTAGTCACCCCTGTTGCATCAGGCTCCCGCAAGCGACGGGACTCGACGAAGAACAAGAACCGTAGTGCATACAATGCAGCAATTCTTGCGGAACAAGAAGAAGATGATGATGGACTCGGAGCATCAAAGCCGCGACGGAAACGGAGACGAACTGCTGCGCGAAAGTCGAAGGGCAAAGATAAGGTATCAGGTGGGAGCGATGAAGATGCGGGGGATGAATCCTATTCGGGCAGTGGTAGTGAGTCATTGTCGGACAGCGGGCTTGACGATACTGTCACAAATGAAGAGGTGAGCTTGTCCATTGCCTTTCGATGCCCAATTCTAAGCCATTTTGCTTAGCTCGCTGACTCCTTGCCTCAAAAAACCATTCCTGAAGGGAAGTCTCGGAGCGGCAAGCCCAGTCAGCCAAAGAAGAAGAAAGCGAGATTGTCAACACCCATACCGCCGATTGTTCCGCCAGCGCCAACTCTGCTGAAACCCGCTCGACAACCGACTAAGGAGACGAAGGTATTAGTGACTTTTTTGGTCAAAAATGGTCTGATGTCTTGTAGAAAGCAGCAGCACGGTATTTCTACGAAGAAGTCAACGTCGAGCGCATTACTCTCATAGGTGAATTGCCCACCACGGTCACGGAATGCAAATACCATTGCCGTCACTGCATCTCTGGTAATGGTGCCCCGCATATCATCAAAGTGTCCACTGGGCAAAAGGGCAATTACAACAGTCAGTCCCTCCGGACCAGTTATTGTACTACACTCATATCTGCCATCTAGATCTTTGGAACCACCTTGCCGCCTGCAAACAAACGCTTGCAGGCGTCAAACAGTTGGCCAAGGCTGTTCGAGGCTGGAATACTCCCATGACACCCGGTGAAATCGAGATTGCAGAGGGACGAAAAATAATAAGCACTGACGAGTTACATCAAATCCTTGCAAATTCGGGTGCCTCAACGAGTGACATCAATTCGCTCGAAGCCACGCGGGGGGAGGCAAAAGAAGCTGGTGCGGACATTTTACTTCTCATTATTTGTGTCTAAGTGATTCCCAGGGTTCATGGGACCAGAAATGGTTCAAGCAGCTTCTATGTGAGTGGCTTATTGTTTGTGACCAGCCATTCACGGAAATTGAGCGGCCGGAATTCAAGCGTTTACTTCAGTATGTCCACTTCCGTACATGACCGCTTGATGTACCCTGTGCCGCAACTGCAAAAAAACAACATCATGAAGATGGGACAGGCACTAGAGCTTACTCTTGCCGCATTCTTTGCTGTATGTAGACATTTGCGTCTCCCACCAGTAACTGACATCAACGACAGAGACTTGAGGGAAAAGTTTCGCTTTCATTGGATGCTTGGACGTCCTCGAATGGATTTGCCTTCCTCGCTATCGTTGTCCATTTCATTTCTGCGGATGGTAAACTTGGTATGTGCTCGGTTTGTGCAAACTGAAAGTACTGACACTATCCCAGAGAAGTTGTTGCTCGATTTCAGAGAGCTTGTTGGAGAAACTCTGGAGAAAACATGGCCGATGCAGTATGGGATACACTTGGCAAGTACCATTTGTGGGGCCAGGTACGTCACTCCTGCTTCATTATTCTTTTATATCTGAATTAACCAGGTTATCGCTGTCATGATGGACAATGCGACGAACAACGATACACTATGGCTGCTGTGGAAGCTAAGTTGTCTTGCACAAAACTTCAAGTTTTCCGCACTCCATGCTTGCCTTCGATGCATTCCCCATACAATTCATCTCGCCGTGATGGTGGTAAGCTGTCCCAATGATAGTAGCCCTCAATTCTCACTACTCTCAAAGTTGCTCAAAGCTATTGGTGCTGTTGAAGATGACTCCAAACGAAAGCTGGTTCCCTACCAAGAATCGGTCATATCACGACCTGATAACAATCACGAGGATGAAGATGCGGTGATAATCGATGACTCGAAGGTGGACAACGACAGTGCCGGGGCTGAGAGTATGGTACCATCTGGGATTAAAGCAGCAATCTTCAAGGTATGTCTGTTCGGTGTTTCTCGGCGTGATAGAGTAACCTCCACTCTAGTTGCGCAAGGTCATTCGCTCTGTGCTTTCCAGTCCGCAACGCCGGCGCAAATGGTATAGTCTTGTGTCCCCGAGTGCGCGACACAGTGTCTTCACATGCTCATACTTGATGTGAAGACACGGTGGTCGTCAACACACCAGATGCTCAGTAAGCTGGTACCCCCTCCATTGAATAGACGGTGGTTCTCATGATTTTATAGAGCGTGCCATCGACTACCGTCCTCAAATCACGTCATTTATCACCGCTCACCCAGATCTTCATGCCTACGAAGTCCAAATACAGGACTGGGCTGCGATCGATGCTGTCGCCGAGTGGTTATTGATGTTTCGTGCTGCAACCAGTCAGATGAGCACGACCAAGATGCTAATGCTATCTGCGACTCATTTGACACTTATCGGACTACAGGATACACTGAGAGACAAGTTGCGCCAACTGCCGGCCAACACCCCTCCCGAACTCCGAGAAGCATTGACAGCCGCGCATCGGAAACTGTCTGACTACTATTACAAGTATGAGCAATCACCGTTCTACATTTGGGCGGCGAGTACGTGTTTTGACTTGGCCAGTATTGCGACATGATTAACAGGTTTTACAGTTCTAGATTCACAGCTCAACGTCAAGTCACTTCGAGCACGCTACGCATCCGACAATGAACTCAAAAAGTATCTCGAAGCTCAAATCGTGAGTTTGCACACATATTTAGACGAAAACTATCTGCAAACTGCACCCCCTCCACCCGAAACTGTCACTGCTGCCCCGCCAACTGCCCCACCTGTCTTGATCGACTTCTCAGTGATGATCTACGGCGCTAACCAACAATCCACTATTGTGGATGAACTCACAACATATTTTGAACTGACTGTGGCGGGCCCTAAAACAGACCCTGTTGCGTGGTGGATGCTCGTAAAGAAGAATTTCTGCAACTCTATTTGCTTGCCCGCGATATCATGACCATACCCGGTAGGGAGTTTTGCTTTGAGTTGTGACTGCCCTGACCATCAGATAGGATCCGCTGTCGCCGTTGAACGTGTCTTCTCTGGTGGGAGAGATACCATATCATTGTGCCGGTCAAGACTCAGCCCGGACACTATTCGCACGCTCATGCTGCTGAAGCATCGACTCTGCATGAAGCACGCCGGTGTCCGCGACGCCTTAGAACAGATGGAGAAGATTGAAAATGGTATAAGCCTCGACTCCTAGATACATGTGTTAGCCCTTGACCTTGAATATAAGCCGTACAGCTGCACCGTACCGTATACGGCCGTACCCGTATGCTCCTCAGGATTTCCGCAGCCGGACCGTATCCGGTACGGTTCCGATCCCTAGGCAGGATGGCTGATGGTTCCGAGCAGTTACTTTACTGGCCCCTGTCCCACCCAACCATGCCAGGCTGGTTCAAGGGTATGGAGCAGATACTGCAGGAGCGTGGTCTATTCCGTCCTGGCATGAATGCCCAGTGCCCAGGCTTCAAGTGCAAGCCTGAGGCAACTGACTGTTGCTGCCATCGGGTCATGTTTTGTCAGCCTGACTTTGTGGCTCAGAAATCAGCGCTACAGGAGGTTGTCAAAGGGCGTGGCCACATTTGTGACTTTTACCCCAAATACCACTGTGAGCTGAATTTTATAGAAATGTATTGGGGTGCAGCAAAGGCAATCTACCGCAAATCTGCCAAGACCAAGACCATCAACGAAATGGAGGAGAACATGCAGATGCCAGTGGCGCTTGATGCAGTTTCACAGGTTTCAATTGTCAGGTATGTTCTCACTAACCTCTATTATTCCTACTTATATCTTGCATCCAGATATGCCAATCATGCAGCCTGATTTATCTCTGCATATGCAGGTGGTCTTAATGGTGAAGAGCTTGCTTATGTCCAGCGGCGGTATAAAGGTCATCGGATGCTACCTCAATTTATGATAAATGAAGTGAATGCTTCTATTTCTCATGTACGGTAGTTTTCTCTACAAAAAATAGTTGGAAAATTTTCAAAGTCCCAAATGATGGCGCTGATGCCATCATTTGATCGCTTAGTCAACGTGCGGGGTTCCCACGACCCCTACCTTATTATAGACAGAAAGTTGTGATGTAGACCGTTTGAACGCCGAAGTTCTAGTGATTATCTGATTCGGCGGATAACTGGTGTGCCCCGGCCCGGCGCCGGTGCGTCCCGCCGCCGCCCTGACGCGATCTGTCCATCCGCGGCCCGTGATTGTGCGCCGTGGAAACAAGAGTTGGCCATGGCGTGTTCGTGCATCACGCGAGATGAACTTGTGACTGTTGAACAGCCAGAGAGGGCGATGCAGCCCTGCAGCGATGTGCAGCGCGATTGCTGTACCATGCAAGTGAGTCACGGTCTCGTCACATGCGTGACCGGCGTTAGTGTTACAGCGCCACGTAACCGTGCCTTCCGACTCCTCCCACCTTGCACCCACGCTTCGGCGCCCACCGCCAAGCCCAGCCCGTTCACGTCCCTCCCACTTCACAGGCGGGACGCCCGTCGCCTACGCGCATGTCGTCGCAACGAGATGCGTGCTATTTATAGTTCTCATTCCTCGCCTCCTTGTTCTCAGTTCTCATCTTGATTCTGTTGCCAACACGGCGCCGTTCCCCGCCCGATGTCGACCGTCGAGGATCCCACCAAGCGTTTTGAAGAAGCTTCATCGGACACCCGAACACACCCCCGTTGCGTGTTTCACACATATCACACCCGGCGACCCGCATGCATAGACGATGACGACATCAGGGTCGCAGCGCTGTAACGCGGTTATGCGCGTTTGCCTGCTTCGCGGTGCTTGGGGTGCCTACTGGGTCGCGGAGAACGGGGGGCGATACTCGGCGTCGTCGGCCAACGGACTCGCCATTGTGACTTGGAGGGCGGAGCGGGCACAGCGAATGGGCACACGACCCGCAGGGCCGGCGCCGCGGCGAGAAGCAGTCCCGGCAGATCGTTCGCACGCCGGCGCTGATCGGGGAATCGTCTCGGAAATAGCGAAAAATCCTCAAATAGACAGCCGCCGACCAGCGCCCCCGTTTCCCTTCCCTTCTCTCTTTTCTTTTGTTCCCTCCTCTTGCTCTCGCACGCACGGCCCGCGACCGGCTCCCATCGGAAGTGCAAGAATAGAAATAACCACAGCGCAAAATGGTCGCGAGCAACCCGCTCTTCGTCGGGTGGAGCATCCGCAAGTTCAATGCGACGGTCGTGAACGACGTGTGGCCCGAGGTGCTGCTTTTCAGCGGCGTTGCTACCAGTGCGTTTTCTTCCCACTACCCTTTCCTTTCCCTGACAGCTTTCAGTGGTCGCATGCGTAACGAAGCTGACGAGCCACCACCTGGGCATCTCGAACGTGCTGCTGTCGGTGCTGGGCACCGTGCTCGGCCTCGTGATCTCCTTCCGCACGTCGAGTGCGTACGAACGGTATCAGGAGGGCCGCAAGATGTGGACGAACATCGCTATCGCGTCGCGGAATATTGGGCAGATTATCTGGGTGCACGTGCCCCACGAGCGCAAGGACATGAGCACGGTGGAGAGCGTCGTGGAGAAGAAGTCGATGATGAACCTCGTGCAGGCATTTTCCGTCGCGGTCAAGGTGTGTGTCTTGTAGATGGTTTTCCTTTGCTTACGATTGGCAGCACTTCCTTCGTGAAGAACCTGGTGTCTATTACCAGGACCTGTACCCGCTCATCTGCTTTTTACCGCGCTACGCAACGCAAGTGGCCCCGACCACCGCCGACATGCTCCCGCTCTGGCAAGCATCTGAAGACGAGCGCTTTCCCTTGCACACCGCCTCCGCGCCCGGCTCGTCCACCCAATCGCTCCCGACCTCCTTCCCCTCCGAAAAGCCCAAATCGAAACGGCGGCACCACACATTCGACCCGGAGGAGGCACTGGCCTCGGTCCAGGCCCACCGCCCGCTGCTCCCCGCCCGCAACCCGCCCGAAACACACTTTCTGGACTACTTCCCGATCTTGAAAGTGTTCCCGTGGCTGTTCAGCAGCTGCAGCCGGCGGGTTCGTGCGACGCTGATGCGCAAGCAAAACCCGAAGAAGAAAAAGGGCCCGCTCGCGGAGAGCAACGTCCCGCTCGAGATCACGATTTACCTGTCCGGGTATCTTGCTCGTGAGTTGAGCCTGTCTACTTGAGTAAGCTGACCCTCCCCTTAGACCTGCTCCGCAACGGCTGGCTCATGCCCGCGCTTGCGACGGGGCTGATGAACAACATCTCCGCGCTGCAGGACACGATGTCGAACCTGGAGCGCATTGGGTCGACGCCGCTGCCGTTTGCATACCAGGCACACCTCCGCATGTCGCTCTGGCTGTACCTCTTCTTCCTCCCGTTCCAGGTGATCAGCACCTTTGGCTGGCTCACGATCCCCGGCACTGCCTTTGCGAGCTTCCTGCTGCTCGGCTTCCTCGAGATCGGCCAGGAGAGTGAGTGCCGATTTATTGTAAGAACTGTGAACTGAGTTCAATAGTTGAGAATCCCTTCCAATACGACCTGAACGACCTGGACTTGGACGCGTTCTGCCGCGCCATTCAGCGCGAGCTGCACGAGATCGCGGCCCACACCGCCCCGGCGCCCGCCGAGTTTGTCTTCTCCACGTGGAACCAGCCGCTCGCGCCCGCCGACCGCCGCAGCGCCGCGGAGCTCGTCGCGGCGGGCGGGAATGACTACACACACGCGGACCACGGCGACTCCGAGCCGGGCATGATGAGCATCCGCAGGGTGCTGCTGAAGAACTACGTCGATGTCGAGCGGCTGACGCGGCAGATGCAGTAAAAGGTTTCTTCTTTTTTTCAGGGTACTATTTATTTCTGGCATACATTCCTCCACGCATACGCATACATCACCACGCACACACGCATATTTACCACCACTACGCATACAGTACTTGCCTCACGGACACGGTCTTCGTTATTTGCTATCCGCTTGCTTTGCTCGTTGCTTGCAGGCCCCGATATAAGTACTTGAATGTGAATTCATCGTGCGCGCAGGCCGCGATACGAGTCGACACAATCGTCTACGAAGTGCAGAGGTACGGTAGGCGAGATTGATTCGGTTCATTTTCAATTTTGAATTTTGAATTCTGAATTCGCCGAGGACAGGGAATGACAGATGGATGGCGGATGTTCAAACCTGAGGGCGGCCACTTATTTCATATTATTTCTCTCAAGTCTTATATGTTAGGAAGTACTGGATTTGTGTGTCTATGGGTTGAGGTGCAAGGGAAATACATGCTAAGTGATACTTACTCCATTTCTGGCCACATATCTGGTCCTAGTCTCTCAATCTCTAATGACATCCGCGAGAATACGTCCCAGCTACTTGCTAAGGTGAGGTCGGGCTTCCCAAGTGATTCGTACACTGTTTGTGCAAACTGCTCAAACTCAGGTGACACCCAGTGCAAGTGTTGCTCTCATCAGCTGGTGCCCCTCTTACAATGCACAAGATATGGGTTATAACCCAAAGGTCCAATGCACAAGACATGGGTTATAGCCCAGGGGAATTTGGAGAAATAATTCCTTGGTTTCATTTTATTCTTTTTTGAGCTGTTTGGTATGATATTAGTGATGGGATTGATGGTCCAAACTAAATCTAACCTTTGTTGAACCAGTTTTGCAAGAGATCAATTGTTTTGATGATCACATGATGCTGCATCACTCCTTCTCTAGTTATTATTGATCTCTATTCCCTCCTCTCCTAGGAGCCCAATATTACATCACGAGTCATCGGCCTGAAGAAAAGGTGATTTACAATAACATATACGATGTCACATTAGTCACATTATGCTTTTATAGTATATTTTGGTATATAACCCATGTCTTGCGCATTGGACCGTTGGGTTATAACCCACAACTTGTGCATTGGACCAGCTGCAACAGGTGCTCTCGTGGTCCAACCTCATCTGATAATGCAGCGCGAAGGTCTTCTACTGTTGCGACCGGTACCTTGATGAAGCAATTGATACCTCCAAACAGCTGAGGGTGTTCTGCAGTGTCTGAAGGAATGTGGCCTGAAGGCATGATTTTGTCTGCCTGATAGCGAATCTTGTGTGAATTCCCAGGACATGCACCTAAAAATGCGCGCATTTCCCTGGGTACTGCCATTGGGAAGTGCGCGCATTTCCTGGGCAAGGCCGTGGCAGGCCAAAGGCTGAGGATGTGACACCAACTGTGACAATTAGTGTTTCTTGAATATCTCCTTGAATATTATAGATATGACTAAGCAAATAACATATATGATAAGCAAATCACTATTTCTTCAGGCCGAAGACCCGTAATGTCATTAAGGTATACTATATAACCCCCAAAACAGGAATATGTCCAAATTAGGCCTAAATTGATGTATCCTTATGTATTTATCAAAATGTCTGATGATAATCAAAAATCGTTCCACATCCATCAAATGATCTAAGATGAATCAATCCCATCAGTGATATCCTGTTAAAAGACTCAAAAACAAATAAAACAAAAGCTTTTAAAATGTGACAAATGTGACCCATGGGGGACTGCCCAGAAATGCGCGCACTTCCCAATGGCAGTACCCAGGGAAATGCACGCATTTCTGAGTGAGTGAGCTGGAATTCCAATAGTTATGAAAGTCATCGAGTTCGGCTTGAACCAGAGAAGGGAAGATCCAGTTAAAGAGATGGCTGTGGAATTCTTAGCCAAAATCATAATGGAAGGAATGAGCAGAACAGACCAATGGTAAACAGTTATCTCGCTGAAGATATGTTCTACCTTACCACGTAGAATATGCTCATGGATGGTAAGTCCTCGCTTTACCTTTAGCCATCGCCAGAATGCTTCAATGACAGTATTGTGGACGCTCTTGACACAAATGTGTGCAGAATAGACGTCAGGATCAATGTCCGGTGCAAAGATCTCACTGGCGACGAATTTTAGCTTAGCTACAAGTAAAATGATGATAAATGAACTCACCGTAGACAATCCTGCATTGTAGCATCCATCCTATCTCTGAACCTTTATCAATGGTCATCTGTAAGCCAGTTCCTAGTGTGTTTATCTGAGTATCTCCATTCAATACAAAGAAAAAATGAAGACATACCACCGGTCTCGGCCACAAAATCAAGATATAGGTGACCGCTGCATTCGTACAGTCATTTGGGACAACATTGATTTTGAGCAGCTTTGCTGTCCACTTGTCCTTGAACGCATAGATTGGTAAGCCTATACCACCCATCTGTAATGCTTGTGCTCCCAGTTTCTCATGCCTGTCAGAACAAATCTCATGGAAGGGGCCTGGGGCCCAGTGCTGATAACAGTGTTCGATGTATTTGAGTTTTTTGCGGCCAGGATAGTGCTGTTCAGCTCCAAGCGGTTGCTCACGTTGAACAATTGCCCTGATCTCATCGCTGTTGCAACCATTAGAAATGATATCCCACAAGGAACATGCACGTACTGCAGGACCAATATCAACTTATTCTGCAACTTGTAAGCCTGGGAGTCTTACTTACATCATCCCATCACATAGTCACAGCCCTTAGTCACTCTCCTCTGTACCACATCGTCGTTTCTCGAATATAGCCGGATTCTGTTGTGTCCCGGTTCGTTCTTCAGTGTTTCTGGGACTTGACCACCCAGTTTCCACTTTTTTCACAACCTCATTCCGTTTATCTCTGCTGGACATCGAAATCTACGGCTCTACGCGCTTCCCAGCCATTCCCCAAGCTTGCGGGCCCTTCTCAGAGCTCCCCCGACCTCCCCGCAGCTCCTCCTACGCTCCCGGCGGCTTTCCCGGCCTCCCGACGGCCTCGCCGTGCTTCTTCGGCCGATTTCGGGCTTGGCGGGCTAAGCGACGTCGTCGCGGAGATTGCGCGCGAACGTTCGCGGGGCATTCCCACGATCTGTCACACTTGTTCCCACCCTTCTCTTGCCACGTAGCGCCCGTTGCGCCTCTCGCCGCGCACCTCTCGCGCCACCCCTCGTCTCCAACGCGTCCGAATCGCTCCTCGTTCGCCCCCCGCTGGCTCCCAACCTGCGTAAATCGGCTGCTGGGTCGAGTACCGGCCCATCTACGCGTCCTACCACACAGCGTCAGCGGCACCGCTCTGGGCCACTTGAAGACGTGGCAGAGGTGCCTAGCAACCCCGTCTCGCCGCCTGACGATAACCTTCTTGGCCGCTCGCCATCTTCCGCCCCATCTCGCTCGCCGTCGCCGTCTCGCTCCCCTCGCTTGCCTGACTCGCCGTCCTCCCACTCGCGTGTCCCTTCGCGCTCGCCATCTCCCTCTCATCGCCAACTTCCTCCCCACCTTGCCAATCCTCCAGCTCTTCCCTCCCGCATGTCGCGCATGACGAAGCTCACTTTCCCGCTCTTCACCGACGAACCATCGCCACTTTCGATCCGGTCTTGGATTGGCCGCTGTCAAGATGAGCTGAAAAGCTGGCGCGCATTCAACCCAGACCACATGCTGCAGGTCTCCGTTTTGATTGTGCTCGCCGGGAAACAGCTCCAGCAGGTTGCAGTAGCAGAATGGTGGGACACGAACTGCGATGAGCTCCAGCGGCTGGGCTCGTGGGAGGAGTTCGCAGCAGCCTTGCACGACAAGTTTGTCCCGCCGACATGGCGTATGGACGCGATGTTGGATGTGTTCGGCGTGAAGCAGGGCAATAACGAGACATTCACGGAGTATATCGAACGCTTTGAACGCGCTAATCGGGTCCTTAACGCGGCTGGCGGTGATTAGAAGCTGAATGAGACGGTGGTCAAATTCTACGTTCTGGCGAACTGCCACCCAGTCCTTCGCACCAACACAGTCTCGTCTCCGGGTTTCAACGTCCACCACCTCCGCTACCCTGCACTTGTGGCCCTCATGAACGGGCTCTACGCTGTTGCTATCACCAATGGGTGGATTAGAAGTACCCCCCCGCCCGGTACCTGCTGCTTCGAATGTTGCCCCTGCCCCTGCTTCCTCCGCCTTTCCTGATGCTCCGATGCCGGTTGCTCGTGCCCCTCTAGCGTCTCCTTCACTGCCGCCTCTCACGCAGGCCGAACGCGACCAGATCTACGCTGCACGTGGTTGTTTTCACTGCCGTAAAACGCCGACAGATAGCGACTGGGTGCCGCATCACAAACGTGACTGTCCGGGTAACCCCGCCCTTGGTATTCCAGCACGCTCTGTGGGCCGTGTCGCTGCTGCCATCCCGCGCCGCTGGTGCAGCTCCTCGGACTATGACTCGTCGGATAGTGAGGATGACCCGGTTGGGATCACACCCCGTGTGGCTGGCGTCATGCCTGTTCGGTACCGCGACATGGTTTTCGATTCGGATTCGGACTACGATAACGATGACGACTAAGCGCCCTGTGGATACGGGCCTTTGATGTCCATTCTCCTTTCCCGTACTCTATCGTCTCTTTAATCGACTTCTTCTTTCGGGTCTATCCGCTTGTTCCCATTGGAGCGTATTGAGCTAAGGCTGCTTAGCATACAGGCTTTGCAGGGGGTTTCCTTGTGACGGTTGTATGGTTGGTGGGCTGCTTGGTAGGCTCTTCTCGGTCTGGCAACTTGTTGGTTCTTCGCTCGTTTTTTGTCGCCTCGCTGTCGCTTTCTTCTGGATGGGTTTGTTTTAAGTGGGGGAGGGTGTAAGCCTGGGAGTCTTACTTACATCATCCCATCACATAGTCACAGCCCTTAGTCACTCTCCTCTGTACCACATCGTCGTTTCTCGAATATAGCCGGATTCTGTTGTGTCCCGGTTCGTTCTTCAGTGTTTCTGGGACTTGACCACCCAGTTTCCACAACTGCATCTTGACATA